GGATTGAAGGTGGCAGAATAGAAGGAACTGGGGCTTTTTGGCTGTGGGGCCAGCAGGAGAAAAGCGAAGTCCCCAGGAGACTCTTCCAGTAACTGGAGCTCCCATGAGGCAGCTGCCTCCAGCAAGGCCGGTTAGGGTTCGGGCATCTTGGGCCTGCATCTGGGCCGGGCCCCCCCACCCTTGCTGTGCTGGGTTCACTCTGCACACAGCCTTCTCCAGGGCGTGGAGTTTGAGGGCTGCCCTCTGCAGGGCTTGGCCCACAGCCCTCCCTGGAGATGGAGCCCCCAACTCCACAGGGGCAGGGGGCGGGAGGGGGAGCTCCCTGGAACCCAGCGCCGTGGCCCCGTGCAGTCCCTACCCCGGGTGCCCTTAGGCGGCCAGCAGTCCAGGGCCCAGCCCAGCAGGCTGAGGTCACCATGGGTGTCTCCTGCTAGGTGTGCAGCCACCACTGGCTGAATGCTTGCTTCCTCCCGGGAACACAGAGTGCTTTTCACACAGGCCTCAAGTGGCCCCACGGCTGTCTGGGGGTGGCTGCCAGCATTATCTCCATTTTGCAGATAAAGAAATACCCCCAGAGGTGCCTGAGGGCGGGTGTCAGCCTGCCGGTGCCCCTGCTAACAGCTCCCCCAGGGCGCCTGCCTTCTCCTGGGCCTCAAAGCCGGGCCTCTGCCACCTCGGCTCCCTGGGGCCTGTGGGGTGGGGGCATCTGGGCGCCTCTGAGCCCTGCCCTCTGAGGCTGACCTGAGGGCCAGGGGAGGGAGGCTGGGCCTGCTGGCTTGGGGTACCTCAGTTCCTCCCAACCCCTAACTTCCGAGGTAATAAGCTGGGAACATGACAGCTGCCTCCAGGCAGCCCTGAAGCCCTTGAAGAACAGAGACTGGGCTGGCCCTCCCAGTGGCCTCGGCTGCAGGGACCAGGCACAGGGCATGGCCCTGCTCCCATGTGGCCCTCGGCTCCCTGGCCGGTGGTATGGATTCGCTGATTAAGGATTCAGATCGCACAGCTGGCACTTTAAGAAAACCGGAGGTGCCTGTGCTTCACAACAGAGATCACCCTAGGCCCTCACCCATCTGGGACCCAGGAATGCCAGTCAGCTGCCCGGCACACGACAGGTCCTCTTCCTGGCTCACCCTCTGATCGTGTGAGGCGCCCTGCTTCTGTGTGCAGCAGAGTCCAGCAGGGGCTGGGAGCCCACCCTGGCACAGCAGTGGAACCAGACAGGAGCCCAGGTCTGTGGTCCTGTGGGGCCCCCTTCTGCCATCCCAGAGGCTCACTCAGGTCAGAGCCATTGCCTGGGGGGAGGCCAGGGAGCCAGGCAGCGTGGCTCCCTGACCCACAGGGTCCTGTGTAAGATGAGCATGTGGGACCCTGTACAAAAATGAAGCATTTTACGACAGTGACAGCACAACACTAAGCCAGGGATGGGCCCTGACGAGTGTGGGCCGCTTGGGACCAGCCGGGCTGCGTCTGCGAGAGGAGCCTGGGAGGCCCCAGGGGCAGCGAAGGACCCCGCATCCTGAGGTCATGGCTGCTGCCAGGTGGCCGTCCCAACAGTGTGAGAGACAGTGTGATAAAGAAACCAAGACTCCTTAGTCAGATTTATTTTCCTCTAATAAAACAGTTTAGCATCTCAAAGTTTTGCATTCTACACTCTTACAGACTTTAGTTATTAGCATCAGAAACACAAAAACATTGCAAGACCTCAAAACACAAATAAATACCAAATAAAACCACACACAATATACAGTAAACAAAAATATAAAACATAATAATGCTATCAGAAGATTAGACACGTTGTTAACTCGCATTAACAACATGATTATTGCTGAGCAATAACATACTGTCTTTTTGTTGTTTTTTCTTAGAAGAGCAGAAAAACAGGACATGAATCACTGGTCACAATCACTTGGACTGTCAAGATGGGTCCTCACAGCGAGCGGTTACTACAGACGGCAATTTTTAAAACAGGCAGATTGATTAAAAACAGAGTTAAATGAGAGATTGGCCTTCTTTGGTCTTTGTTTTTGGGTAATAGAACTGAACCAAGAGGTGTGCCATCAGAGAAAGAACACAATTCTAAAAATGTTACACAATTGTCTACATGGATTTACACATTTCCTTGATCACAGATGATATTCTACAGTTAATTCTTATATAAATCCTTGGAAATAATACAGGCTTTTGTGTTTACCAATTAAGTCATTTAGTTTGCTGTTGAAGGTTATCTTACTTTTCTAAGGGGACTGAGTTATAAAAAACCCATCACCACTAACGGCAGGAGTGGGACAGCCATCCTGGACTTTCACCTCCTTCATTGCGAGAGTTCACAAGGCAGACTAGAGAGACGGCAGCAGCGGGAGAAATGAAATGCAAGCGCGGCTCGGTGCCCCTGGGGCCTCCTCCAGCCGGACCCACGGGCCGGAGACTGGGCCCCCTGAGGTGAGGTGGGGCGGCTGGGGGGGAGACGCCCCCAGGGTGCTCCCTTCCCCACTCCGGCCTGTTGGCCCTGGAGCCTCACACTGACCTCTCTGACAAGACCCCAGGGGACACGTCCTACTTGGAAAACAGCACTGTCGAGATTTGCGCCGAGAGAGGCAGAACCACGGTGCGGGGCTGGACAGCAGACGGGGCGGCGGACCCTCGCCCACCCAGTCACAGGTGCAGAGGGGCGCCTGGCAGCTGCCTAGCTCTCCTCTGCTTCTACATCTGGACTAGGAGGAAATGGCATTTTACAGCTCTGCCCGAGCCCCTTCCCACACTGGCCATTACCAGAGGGAAGCGTTTTGGGGGATGTGGTTTGGGCCAGGGGCCCCTTGAGTTGGGTCCTGACCAACCCTGTGGAGGCGGCAGAGATGCTGGGCCCGGACCTGTGCCAGGGCCACCCCCTCGGGTGCACGGAGGTGTGGCCTCGGCTCCCCGGAGTGTGGGTTGGGTCCTGCCCTCTCCCCCCGTCCCTTGGGCTGTCCCTGCTGTGCTGTGGGCTCTGTCTGGACACCTTCTCCTCTGCCAGGTGGTGCCCCCAGCTGTGGGATGCAGGCCTGCCCGCGGGACCACCACGACACTGCTGAGAGTGACGGGCCCTGCGGCTGAGGCCCCTGGAAGGGATGGGCTGTCTGGGAAGGGACCGGCCATCCTCACCGAGGTGAGTCACAGCGGTCCAGGGAAAACCTCGGGGTGTCGGCTCTGCCAGAGGCCCCCCTGGCCTCTGGCCAGCTCCTGAAGGGCACGCTGGAGGTGGTCGCCCGTGGGACAGCTCTCCTGCACACCACGGCCCTCAGGGGTCCCAGGGCAGGGAACCGCCAGGTCAGACAGAACCAGGGAAGGTGAGAGGAGGGAAGGGGCTTGGCCATGGGCTCCCTGCTCACCTGGCCGCCTCACAGACGGAATGGGCCGGGGACAGTGGCCATCTCCTCTGTCCACCTGCACAGTGAGCGCACGCTGGTGACTCTGCAGTCGGTGCTACCCTTGCCTGGCAGGTCTTAGAAAATTTACATGAAATCCTATTGTCTCCTCTGTTACAAATGTACCCAGGAAACTCAGAAATCCAACTTAGAAAATAGGCCCAGTTAAGCATATTCCAGCCCACCTGTGGGCGGGTCTAGTCCTGAAGAGCCAAATGCGCCAGCCACCCAGACCCCAACCTCGCGGAAGAAGCGCCTCGCGCACACCGAACATGCTGAGCCCTCCAGAGCAGGCGCCCCCCCCACCTGTCAGGGACACCTGGCCCCGGTGACCCGGCCCTGCCGCGGCGGGCACGTGTCCAGACAGCAGCAGATGGAGACGGGAAGCTATTGTCCCTTCTGGCATGAGGTGTATGGGGAAGCCAAGTGGCTTCGTTGTGCAGACACTCAGTGCTGGTTTCTCCAAAGCACTGGAACAGTTTTGTCCCATAGGGGATTTGGCCACTGTAGCAACTGGGAGCGTGCCCCATACGCACCACGTACACCTCGTGAAGCAGGGAGGGCTGGTGCTCCAGGGCGGGCGGCGGGCTTCAGCTGCATGGAGACCACAGCCCAAGGCAGCCCTCGGGGGCGAGCACCAAACGGGGGGACGAGGAGTCGGGATGGAGCTGCGTGCTGTCAGGGCCACGTCACACACGGGGGCCTTCAGGACGCAGTGCCCCGGCAGGGTCCCATGCGGGGGAGGGAGGTGGCACAGTCAGTGGCCGAAGGCACTGACCTATTACCTCCAGCTATTCTCCAGCGCTAGGGAGAAGCTTCCGCGGCACCTCCTCATTCCTGGGGATGGGGTCTGCTCCCGAGCCATGTCCACGGGCACCCTGGAGGGCGCCAGGAGGGCCCAGCGCCTCCCACCAGAGCATGTCTGGGTGGGGCCAGGGAACGACGCTTCTAGGCAACCCACCTGACGGGATTTCAACCAGGGGAACAGAAAGAACTTTTTTTTTTTTTTACCAGACCAAGATACTGCTTATTCCAAATTCATTAATACTGTCTGTATTCCTAGTGAAGGGGGAAGGAGTCACAAGCATGTCCCTGTTGGTGACCCTTGGCCTCAAGAAAGCCATCTAAGGCCAGGCAGGGGCTGCCAGGCATCCCCACTCCTCTGGGTCCCCAGGATAGAACAGGGCAAGGCTTGGAGGAGGCTGGGGACACCTTCGGGGAACAGTGGTTCTGCGCACCTGCAGGAAGTCCTGCCTTTGAGCAGGGACACACGATTCCTTCATGGGCAGAACCGGTAACAGAGATTCGCCCTCAGAGCAATCGGGGGGTTGAGGGGTGGACAAAGGAAAGGTGGGGACAGCTGAGCATCGTAACTGGAAGGGCAGGTGCTTGGGACCGGTGAGGTCACTTCCAGAAGCAGGGGGTGGTGTGCGAGGGGAGGGCACTCCCAGCAGGCACTGGGGCAAAGGCACACCCAGGGCAGGTGGCAGCACCAGAGCCATGGGGGCCGCCGGGCACCAACCCAGTCGTCCCCACACGACGGTGGGGGAGCCCAGAGGCAGGCAGTTGGAGGCACGGCCCAGCTGGCCAATCGCGGGCGCGTCCTTTGGATGAGTGGCACAGATGCGGTGGTCACACACATTGGTTTTGCCTAAGAAGCACCCGTCACGTGTAGCACCCGTCAGTGGAAAGAGCACCCATGAAGCGTGGTGCATAGCAAAGGGGCACAAGGAGGCAGCGCTCCGGCTTCTATCACAGTTGGACCATGGAGAGAAGGTAAACAGTGTTACGAAGGTGCCACTTGGGCAGCTGCAGGCTGGGGCGACGAACCCCGAGACCACCCTTCCTGAGAGGGTGGTGGTCGCGGGTACCTGCCGTGGCCCAGCCAGGCAGCCCCCGGAGTGGCAGTCTCTGGAATGCTCAGAGAGGGTTCTGCTTCAAGTGGCAGGGGCTCCATAGCAGGGAGACAGGCAGCTCCTGCCATGCTTGGCCTAGGCGCTCACTTTTGGGGCCCAGAGATTTGGAATCTGTGATAATTAAGAGTGGAGGCTCCAGAGCGGACATGGGAGCCTGACTTCCTCAGCAGGTACAGGGCTGTCTGAGGGCCCTTGAAAAGGTGAAGATCTAGTGATCAAGAGAAAAGTCTGGTTAAACTACCACTTTCTAGAGTTGCAGTGAACACAAAGCTAGGGTCCAGAAGCAGCATGTCACACCTAAGGCACATGAGCAGTATGCCACCATCTCTAGGCAAGATGTCGCATTTGGAGATCGTGAACAAAATGCAGCAATATGACAGGATGAAGAAACACATCTGCTGTGGCCTCCTTCCGCACAAGTCACCTGCCCACCCCTGGACACTGGACACTGAAGGTCGGAGTTGTCAGCAATAGAGAGCTTGTCTCAACACATGGGGCAGAATTTTAAAAACCTACAGGATTTTGTTTAGAACTCCAAAGTTCAACTAATGCCCTATTTTAGGGTGAAAACAATTATAAATCTGAAAATGATGCACAGCATCCATGAGCAATTTCCTTTCATAATAATTTTGAAGTAGTGTTATTAACTACGACAGATATTGAAGGTTTACATTTCTAACGAGAAATAACAACAGATTGAATATTCTCTTTCCTATCACAAGTGATAACCAGTGTTTGATATTTTACATTTTCTTCCAAGAAATATCAGTCTATCAACGTTTTAAAATAAAATGTTTGCATAACAATTATCTTCGAACTTTAACTTAAAAAATGATTCTGAATTTAGAGACTTTCAAAAAAGACCTAGGTGTACTTCAGGGTCTTCTGACAAACAAATTATTAAAACAGAGACCAGATGAGGCCTTAAAAATAGACAATATACTATATTTGAAACAAGATTGCACTTTTGAATTTTAGAATGAATATATCAGAATTGCATTATCATTTCATAAATTCTTCTTTTACTTAACATGCTGCCATGTCCAGCTATCCCCAGGTGTGTGTGTGTGTGTGCGTGTGTGTTTTCTTTTTTGCTGTTCAAGTTTAAGGAAGAAAAATGGTTCTTTTTGTTTAGCATATATGTTTTCCACCTTAATTAACTAGATCTTTAAAAATGAAAATGAAAACCTTCTCTGACAGCAGTATTTATCTCATCGAAGGATAAATAATTCTTCAGAGTGAAGTGTTGCTAGTCTATTAGAAAACATGTCAAGCACGTCCTCACGCGTGGCTCCTCCTCTGGCCGGCGGCCGCCTTCTGCTGCTCCCTCTGTCCCACGAGGTCCCCTTCTGAGCACGAGGACCTAGGTGGAGACAGCGGTTCAAACCCCCGGAGGAGTTGCCTTCTGCTCAGTCCACCTCCCTGGTGGCTGTCAGGGGTCGGGCAGGTCCGAAGTATCCACTATGACTTTAATAAAAATGGTGTCGTCTTTGATGTAAGTCCCATTCTCTAGCACAGTCTGGGCCACAAAGACAGGGCAGCCAGAGGCAATATTCATCTCCCCGGTGGGTTTCTTGAAGCTGCTGCTGTTGGGGTCTGGCTTGAAAGCATCTCCCAAGTGCCGCCGAGAGGACCCCTGGTCCATCAGCATGAGCGTCACTTTCTGCTTGAATGGCCAAGGAAGCAGAGCATCGTACTCTCCACGCATGATGACAAAGAACAGCGACAAATGCGTCCCCTTCCCCATGCCATCCCCATTCAGGTAGACCCTGGCACACATCTTATAGCCAAAGTAGCCGGTGTAGAAAGGCTGGCTGTAGAGAGACAGGGTCTTCCCCATGACGGCCTCCTGCTTCCGCCGCTTATAATCCCGGATCTTCCAAATCAGCACCCCGTTGTAGCTGGCAGTCTCGAGGACCTGGAACCGCAGGTCCATGTCGGCCAGGCGGATGTCGTGAACACTCAGCATCTGGTCATGTCTGCTCAGCTGGGACTCCAGCAAGCCTACCGAGGTGAGGAGAGATGGTCGAGGTGGACACATGAGTAAGGGGAAGGCTAGTGAAGCCGATCCCCACCAGCATCTGAACTGAACTACCTCGAATCACTGTGGTTATCGGGTGGAGACCATGTAGATGTCCAAAACCAAGCTCAGGCCTCAGATCCCTGCACTGCGGGGGCCCCCAATACCCAAGGCTACAGAGTGCTGTGCTGTGACGCCCTGGGGGACCCAGGCCTGCATGTCATGGGGCACACTTCACGGCCGGGCGCATGACAAGGAGCCGACAAGGAGCCAGCTCACATCACCTTCCTGGAGCCCTGCTGGGGGCAGGGGATGGCTGCCCTCTTGCTCATGTGCCCCTACCCTCCCTCCTGGTGCTGGGAGTCATCTGTGCCCTGGCTGTAAGCTGCTCCTCTCTCCACGCCACTCCGTGTGCTCAGCGACCTCAATCCAGCCCCACGTGCATCATGATAACCCTTGTTCCTTCCTACGGTCATTCCTTTTCATGCAAATACATGGAAGAGTCATTCAGTCCCCAAAGCAGCAGTCCCAGTGCACTAGATACCAGAAACATGCTGGTCGGACACACTGGGTCTTCTGCCTCACCTGCCTGTCACCTTCTGTCCCCTGGGCATTCACAAGCATGGCCATGAGCACCCCTGAGTCTACTCTCTCCTGTGCTGACCTCGTTTGGAAGGGAAAGTCTTAAGTGGGAAATGCACCTGCCTCTGCAGAAGGCATCTCAGCAGGGGAGGAGAGCTACCGCGCCCCTTGCCCAGGCATTAGCTGTAACTGGAAGGAATCATTTAAAGCAGCATGTGCCTTATGTACCACTTACCCCTGGGCTCAAGAAGCACTTTCATGGGGTCCCAGGAGTAGTCCAAGATGCAGTCCCCTGTCCCAGGTCCCTCCCATACCTGTCCCTCCCCCGCTCCACCACCTTCACCTGTGTTCCGAGCAGCCTGCCCTGCACCTTTGTCCACACTTTCCAGCTCGGTCACTCGGTTCTGGAGAGACTCCACGCTGCTCCGCATGCTGTCTGCTTCTTCCCAGCTCTGCCGGAAGGGACGGATCTCTTTGTCGAGCTCTTTGAGTTTCTCTGCTTGGCTGTCTATTACTCGCTTCCAAATCAAAGGCATCAAAGAAGTAAAGCACAGTTAGAGCTCAGCGCCAACTCTGCGCCATCACCACTGTCCTCACTGCTGGCTGGCGGGGAACCGCCGCTGGCTCAGAACCACCGGACTGGGCTAGACTCTCAGCCCTGCACCGGGCTCACCCGGCATGCCATCTGAGCTCTCAGGTATCTCAGTGGATACAGGCACCGAGGGTCCTGGCCTCTCAGAGGAGGGCCCCAAGGCACAGAGCAGACCCACCCTACTGACGGCAGAGCAGGCGGCCCCCTCACCACTCTGCCCTAGGGGCTCGAGTCCAGGATGTCGGTGTCATACCCACTGGCCCTGTCTAAAGGGCTGAGTCATCAGCAGGGACCAACAGTGGGGGCCTCCTGCCCGGCTGCCTGGCCCAGGATAGAGGGGACCCCTGTGTCTGCAGAGGTTCTGGGTCCAGGAGAGTGAGCTACTGCCACCCTGCAGCCTGCTCCGGAGAACCTGACTGTCTGCACAGGGCTGGCAGCAGGCAAGAGCCCTGGGGGCAGGTCTTTGGGCTGGGCAAGACCATGGGCCAATGGTGCTAACAGTGGTGGCTCCTTCCACCCCTGCCACGCTCGGTGCCCCATGCCCACTGGGACACAGAAACACTGCTGACAGACACGGGTGTCAACATTGAGGCTGGATTTTATGCTATTTTAATTTAAGTAATGTGGAATACCTTTTTTCCAGAACAAACCATTTCCATTTACAGCAGTAACCTGGGGGAGAGACCCATTGTCCAGCTACAGCAGCCCCCTGCTTTAAAGAACCAAGTGCCTGCCGACTTCTGGGATGAAGCCAAGTGTCTTAAAGGGCTTTCACTTCTAAAAAGAATGTGCATTTTTGAAATACAGCATGTGAAGACTGGGTGGCTCCGTCTTCAGGGAAGCCAGGGGTGACTGGGCCACCTCTGGGGCTGCAGGCTGCACGGGGGAGCCTCGGGCCTCCCAAGTCCACTTCTCCTTTCAGAAGGCTGCTTTTAAACATTTAGGCTTCAGCACCTTTGCTGGCTGTTAAGAACCATGAAGGAACAAATGTGGCGAGTTTGGGTTACCTTTTTTGGGTGAAAGTACAGTGTTATTTTTTCTCTTCTTTCCAAGAAACCCCGGGATTAGCTAACAATTAAAAAGTATATTTCTCTAAAGAACACCTCTTCCTTCACTGATACTTTATTTTTTAATACATATGGCTAGCGGTACATTTAATAAGTTCACAAAGTCCATCTTCTGGGGACAATACTATGGACATGAATCATGAACATCCTGATGTGTCTGTAATGCTCTTCTTTTAACAGTTCTCACGTCCTCTTCCTGCTGAAGTCAGATGCTAAGCTTATGTGGATACTGAGTATAAGAGGGAAGCTCATGAAAACTTCATGATCAGTGACCATATCAGAGATGCCAATTTGCACACTAGGCGCAGGCATGTCGCGTAGGATGTGACACGTGCTTATCGCTTCTAAACCTCATGTGCAGGAGGTGAAAAAGAAGGGGTGATGCTATGCTGCCTCCTCCCACCAAGACTGGTGATAGGCACTTATGGCGCCACGAGGCACGAGGTGACCTCAGGAACAGGAGTGGAGTCTGCAATGAGGCCTACTGAGCTGGCAGCAAGCCTCCAGCAACATGGCATCCTCACGAGGGCGCAGGAACAGGAGAACACGCGTGCATGCCCACACAGATGAAGCACAATCAGAGCATTTAGGAGCTCCACACACAAAAGAAAAGGTCCGATTTCTAGACATACCTTGTCTATATCAATGGTACACAGTCAAAGCAGGACACTGAGCTAAACCAGGCTTCCTGTGCACAATGCAGCAAACACGAACTCACTCTTGAAGACAGGTCTATATTCAGCCATTGTATTGTTTCAATAAAAATAAATCTTAAATGCTGGTGTGGGTTTCAGTAGAGCAGGGGTCCGTGACTTGAGGTGGATGTACAGTGTGCACATGATACAAGTATATCCGAATCTAAAGGCTGCTGCCAGAGAGGATCGGCCCAGCCATCCTGTGCACTGCGCACTCCAGGGTTTCAATCATGAACTGTCACTTTCTCCCATTTGGGTCACTGGGACATGTGCCCCTAACTTGGCCCAGATGAGGCAATGCAGGTGGTGCTTGTGGCCCAGGCTGAGGGTCCGCACGGACTGGGTGCTGCTGGGCCCTGTGCTCCGGTCCCACAGGCCGCCTCACTGCAACAGTGATCAGTCCATTTCATTTTCACTCATAACAGGGACGTAGGAATTAAGCTGACATTTAGGCTGTTTGTTTAAGAAAAACAGGTTCTTTAAAAAATAAAATATTAAGGAACTACCTTTTCTGGGCCAGCAAAAGCAAACACACTCTTAAATTCCTCTCCTTTTAACCAACTCCAACTGCATCCCATCCCTGGTATTGGGGGCCATCTGGAACTCTGCACTCCATATAGACCCCTGCTGTCCTCAGGGCTATAGGGTCTACTGGAGAATCAGACAGAGGGGGCGACACACAGGACGGCACGTCTGCCACCCACAGCGCAGTGCTGGGGGAGGCCAGGACGGCACCTGAGGGGTCTGAGCAAGAGCCAGAGCTGGGGCGGGAAGGCGCAGTCTGCTGCACAGAGCACGGGAAAGGTGGAAAGGTTAAAACAGCGGCCAGCCCTGTAAGGGTCCCTGGATCACGGCATCACATCTAAGATGCACTCTTCTCCGGGTGGTGGGAAGGGTCCCCTGCCAAGGAATGATAGAAAAAGAGGTGCACATGGGAGCCAGGACCTGGCTCTGGTGGGCAGGTTAGGGGGAGCTGGAGAGAAAGCACCGCTGGGCTGCGGCCATCTCACATGCAGCCAACCTCTCCAGGCACCCAGGCCACAGAGGTTTTCATCATCAACCTTTCCCAGAAGACTGACAGTCCAGAATTCCTCTTTCACTTTCAGCCAAATGTGGCCAACCTCATAGTGGTATCAAAAGAACGCTAAATTTTACTACTCCCGAGATCATCCAGTGGGACGTGCTGTGTGGGACCCACGAGGGACCCCTCGGGAGTCCCCAGCACCTCACTGTCACCTGTGCCCACACCTGAGGGAATCAGGAGCTGAGTCCCACCTGCTCTGGGGGCCCTCTTCCAGCGCCATCTGATTTCCTCTAGGCCCTCCCTTCTGTGTAGAAGAGACTGGAGAGTCACCGCCCTGCCACCTACTCACCATGGTCAAGGAAGCGACAACTGCTGTGACTGCTCAGCCATCGCCTCCCTGGGCTCTGGCAACTTGGTTTCCCCCTTTCTTCCTGACTTGGGCATTGTTCACTTACTTAATAGGGAAACATACCCTAAGTACAAGCACTGGAAAACCATTTTGGCAACACATTCGTGATTCCTCCCCGGCTGTGGTAACACATGGGAACAACTGAGGCTCAGCTAACACATGAACAAGGCCTCATGGAGACCTGGGGTTGGCAACGGAACGAGGAGCAGCATTTCATCAGGCCTGTTCAGGCAGTCAGCGTCCTCCAGAGCAGCAAGGTTCATGTACTTGTGGAGGTGCCTTAGGGTCACTACAGTGAAATGAACCAGGGTGAGTACGTGTGTCACTAGGAAATTCAGAACAAAATAGTTTGGCTTCACTTCACTTTAGGAAGTGAAAATTTACACATACTACTCGTGAACAACATGAAATCTTAAATAATAATAAAAACAGCTGATTTTAAAAGACATGACCTTATGCCTTATTTCACCAACAGTGAATCAAAGGCACAGAAGAGAGGTGAGAGGCTTGCTCTCCAGGGAAAGGCAGGCGGATGCGGGGCCTACAGCCTCCCAGGCTGAGACTGTGCTAATCTAGGCCGCCTTTCTTGAGGCTTCACTTAAGCAAGGGGAACAAGTTGCTTCCATCGCTTCTGTTTGACAAAGGGCAAGGTGTTTGCTCAAGAACGACAGAAAGGGTCTTGAAGAACACAGATGTGTTCCTCTACCCTTGATCCAGGCATAGTCTTAAGCTTCTTACCTGCAAATGAAGTATTTTGGATTCGTTATTTCGAAGCATTTCCTTTTGTCTCTCAATCTCAATTTCAAAGCTACATATCTGATTGTGCAGACTTTGTATGCTCTTGTTTTTTTCCACACTTTCATTCTGCAGCAAGGAAACCTAAAAAAAAAAATTATTCAATTAAGCAACAAAAAGTGGTTTTAATATTAATTAATAACAGTTAAAATGACAGTAATTAAATTTTCACAGTATAGGCCTTCTATTAGCTCACTGGAGGAGCTACAGAAAAAAAAAAATCCTTCACACAGGAAATGGAAGTCCTGGTAATTTAATAAGGAATCCTATAAACTGTTTCTCAGAATCTCCTTCAGAAAGTAAATAAGGTGAGTCAAAGTGCAGCAGCTGACTGGATTTCAGAATGAATGGCAAGCTTTTTCAAAGTTTTTGTTGTAAAGTAATAAATCTGTTACCAGAGTGGCATTCAGACTTTGACCAGGAAACACAGTAGGAAACACATTCCTACCTCTTCACACATTTGTCCATACGTGTGTGTGTGTGCATGACCTAAAACCATACTTGCTCTGATCACTTACAGTGCACCCTGGTATTTCCTGCTTTAATTCCATTCTAACTTCAGAAAATGCTAGTCCCGTCCCACATGATTTCACGTCCACCAACGGGCCAGACCCCACCCTTTGGACTCAAGGGAAAGCATGGGGCGAACGAAAGCACGTCCTGCTTCAGCTGCCCTTAGGGCCGGCCTGCTAACCCACAGAGAGAGGCTGGCACCCGAGGGGGCCTCCACGGCCCCCCGCACACTCCCCTCAAAGACTGGCCCTGGAAAGGCTCTCTCTAAGGCCACATGTCTCCGTCTACACATGGGTACAGCTGCCACCAGGGAGACGGCAGCTCTGTGATGGGTCAAATGTCACAACTCCTCTCAGATGTGCCTCTCGAATACCACCAATACCTCAGGACTGTGGGGACGGCCAGTGAGGTGACAGTCACTGAGGTGATGGCCCACAGGCATCTCAGGACAAACCCATGTGTGATAAAGAACCAACTCCTGACGCCCCTTAAAGGATAACCAGCCTGCAGACAGGCAGCCTTTTTGTACTCAAGCTGCTCACAAGCAGTGCCTCTGGACACAATCACAGGCCTTTTTATTTTAGAACAAATAGATGTTTACTAAGGAACACCAAACTTGCAATGTCTCATGGGCAAAATCATACTTCACTTTCCTAGGATTTTAACTCAGCACAGACGGATTTTCCTCCCTGAAGTCAGATGCCCCAAAGGCCCGTGGACTCCTACAGGTGGTCCACTTGCACTGCCCCAGGCTGGGCAGAGAGCAGCAGCAGGTTTCTGCCCTAGGTCACGGTTCACTCATTCCCACCATCAGAGATGGACACAACTCTAAGACTCTCCTCTCACACCCAAGAGTGGACATACTATGCATGCACACGAACCCTTTTGCTAAAAATCTCAGAAATAGCTGCAAACACAATGGCAGTTTTTTCCTTCAACAAATCAAGCTACTTTGAGGATGAGCAGAAGTGTCTCACATTAATGAACACACATCATGCCATATTAAACTCCTAATTCTCTACCCAGGGACTTATTGAAATTTATTTTTATTAGTTTCTATATTTTGATCAAAGAACCTAATCCCCAGTGCCTGCAGACCCCTAATCTCACTCATCCATCACAGATGAGGGTAGGGACCCCCTCATGCTTCCCCACCCTCTCCTCAACGGGACACCCTTTGCCCAGCCTGTTCGGTGGGGTACTCTATATGTCTGTCCTGTGATCTAAGCTCTCCTAAAATACGAGGTGGCTGTTTTTAAGTCCAGATTATACAAAACACTTTTTCTTTAGTTTGACCATGAATGTGGTTTGTGAAGATCAGTCTTTCTGAAATAACTCAAACATTCTATTTTCTATTACAGATGAGCCAAATAACCTGAGAGATTCCAAGAGAATCATTCTATGATGAGAAGTAAGTTCCCATTTTAAGAAAATACAAGTATCTCCATTCTTTGTCCAGTCTTGCCTAGAGAAGAGACAGGCGGGGCGGGCACCTTCTCATGAACCCGAACAAGAATGTGCAGAGCTGAGGCTCAGCTGAGCTGAACCCCCAGGGCAGGCGAGTCCAGTCAGGGGACAGAGCCAGGGGGAGACTATCCTTGGGCAACATCCAGGAGGCACACATTTGAATCTGTCAGCAGCAACGCATGGCAACACATTCTGCCCTCACAGCAGCTCAGTCGGGTTTGGCCAGTGGTAGTTTAAACATGAGGCGTTTGCAGTGAGAAGCTGCCGAGGACTGTGTACAGGCAGGCTGCTCCGGCGTGTCCCAGCGTCTGCAGCGATGCAAGTCATTCACTGGGTGGGGAAAATGTGACAGTGTGGGAGGTGGAGAGCATAAGCGATGTGAATGCCTCACCTGCGCCCCGCAGGGTCTCAGCCCGAGAGCCGACTAGGGACAGTACCCGCACAGTCATTCACGGGACCACCACACACCTCAGACCTGCCAAACCATTATGTAACTAGCACAGCTGGAGCAATTCATTTTAACTGAGGGGAAGAACCTTTTAAATAAGTAAGAAACACAGTGTCTATTAGAGACAAAAAACCCTCAATCTATGCCAGTAACTTTTAAAAAGGCAGAAACAGAACATAGTCTTCAGAAGCAGGGCAGAAAGATTCATAGGTGAACGTCACTGAATCCAATGAACACTGCGCTCATGGGAAAATCACACATGGTCCATCTAACACGTCACGTCACTGCCAGACAGAGCTCTCCCCTGCCCACTTGTGCCAATGCGTTCATTACTCCACATCTTCAGCTTAGGTATTTATACTTAAAAGCCATTTTATGTCAGATTTAATAAATGTCTTTTGATTTAAATTTTTAGACTCTTTCAAGTAATTCACATTTTAAAATCTTTGGATTTAACACTTGAAATGAGAAAACAAACAGCAATTCCACTGGCTGCTCTAATTCACCTTAGCACCTCCTACTATGAGCTGTCAATAAACATTTGTTGAATACTGAATTAAGTTTTTGTTTTTTTACATAAGCCAGAATGGGAGACCCTATAACGACTTATTCTCTCAGTTCTTAGAGGTTTTCATCTTTTTCTCGTGAGAAGGCCTGGCTGAGCTGAACACCCCGGAACAAACGCCCCCAGGAGGAAGTAGCATGCGGGAAGGTGGCTGCTGAGGGGTCCGAAGACCCAGCAGCTGAGGCCTCTTGAAGAGCAGCCAGGAGGAGCATGAGTATGTTTGGGAAGTGGGCCTACTCAGTGCACCAGGCTGCCGCCGTGTGCAGGCTGAGGAAACCAACAGCACCGCTAGTGACGGGAAATGTCTTTTCTCATTTGCCCCTAGAAAAGACAACAACAGTAAGGCACGTAGCACTGGCAACCCAGATTCGGGGCTGGCAAACTTCTTCTGAAAAGAGCCAGAGAGTAGAGATATTTTGGGTGATATGGTCCACACGGTTTCTGTCTCAACTCTGCCACCACAGTGCAAAAGCAGCTGTGGACAATATGGAGACAGCTGAGCACGGCTGCGGCCCAGTAAGACCTTATTTACAAAAAGACAGGGCTGGGGGAGGGAAGGCGCGGTGTGCAAGTTTGACAATCCCTGTTCTAGGCCAGCATTAAGACAGCCACAATGTGACTTAAAAAAAAAAGCAGTGTGTTTGCTTAGCAATTAAAAAAACAAACAAAATAAACACTTTCATTATAAGCTCAGGGTCTGGGAAGAGAATTTACTTTTTTAACACTCCCTTCATGCTGTTCCTTTTAACCCCAAACCATTAGTTAACTATTAAAAAAGCTGTCTTCCTTAAATAGCTTGAAGTGCAGGCCAGGGGAAGAGGAGCGGCGGGGCACCTTCTTCTCCAGGGAGCTGCTCCACTCCTTCAGTAGGTTGACATGCTGCACCGCGGAGCTGGCCTCGTGGGCCTTGATCTGCTGGTTTGTCCCCTGCGAGAACAAAGATGCAGTGTGTCACGACAACTTCACTCCCTTCGAGTACGGAAAGACTAATGCGACCTCACGGCACTGAGCCCCAAGAGGGAGCCTTAGACAGCTCAAGGTAACGGGGAGGCCACACCTCTGAGGGCCAAGCCATGGCCCTGCTCAACTGCGTGCAGTGCAGACGCGGGTGAGAAGAGAGCGCCGCGATTCATGACAATCTCAAGTCCATGCTTGTCATTCCTCAAGCCCCTAACAACTGCCTTCTTAGCTATGTTTCATACTGTAATATTAGGAATTAAATTTTAGACACATGAATTTGGTTCTTTACACAACAATTTTTTTCATTAACAATGTAAATGGGAAATGTTTAGATACCTGAAGTTATAGCTAGATACTGCATAATCTAGTGAACATGTAACCAAAGATTCTAAATACTAAAATCTTAACTTATTAGTGAATTACACTGTATCAGGAAATGTATAGCTCCTCACTATTCTCAGTATACTTAGAAAGTTACATACAAAACATAAACAATCTACAGAGTACATAAGATGTAGACCATTTCAGAGTCAGTAAGAAGCCCATGAAATAGCACTTCATATATTTAAGGAAATAATTCAGATGAAAATATAATTTGTTTTGATATTGAAAAATTAAGAAGCCATGGAAAGCATTTTAATGATCTCCAAAACATATACTCTGTACATAGAATATCCATATATATATGCTGATATAAGTATTTCTCTATATAAACATATATATACACATACACAGAATGAATGATACTACATACGACGTAACAGTGGTGGGGGCTCAGCTTGCTGGAGACAAGGGGACTTATAGCCATTCTTGCTTTCTAAGAAAATACTAAGATGATAATATCTCTATACTGCTTCATAATAATGTATTGTTAATACATAGAATTAAATATAAAATACTTCAATTATAATATTATACATTGCCCTGTGATAATTTTAAGATTAAGATATACATTTAAATGAAAACTCAGTTCAAATTCACTAGCAATATAAGTCATGTTAAAAAAAATGAACAACAAAAAACCAGAAATAGGTTTCTCACAGCATAAGTGTAGTAGGGATGGCGACACCCTCTCCACACTGTTCTCCTGGGAGTGCGGCATGTATATGAAAGGCACTTTTGGACTCACGTGTGTGACTGTCATGACTGTGTACAGATGCACACACTACTAAAACCATATTCGGTTTGATTTTTATGTGTATTCAAGTAACAGCTAAAATTTCCATAATACTCTAGAAACCCCACCAAGTGTCAGTCTTATCTGTCCCACTTCGCTGGTTTTAGATGTAGTAGCTCTCCTAATGTACCGACATCATTCTCAGCATAGGTGTCCACCTGAAGTCTCAAAACACCACCAGAATGGAAAGCAAGCACCCACTTCTGCTGCATGTGGCTTTCATCATCCATGCAGCAGGGTGATTCAGTTCCATGACAATGACTAAAAGTCCACAACTTGCATGTTAAAATGTTAGTATCATAATTTTCTCTTAAGGTAGAATGTCAGCGACTGGGAAGGACAAATGTTGGATACTGACCTGAAAAATGCAGCCATAGCGCTTAAAACTACAGGTGCTGGGGGCATTGACACACTCTGACAAGTGTGCACTCAACTGTAACGGGAAAGAGACGTGAGTTGTGGCACAAACGTTTGCATGAAAATGTTCAAACATATTAAGGGCACAGATAGCATCTGGGTTGAACTATTACGAATGGTGTTTATCAGCTACAGGTGTGTATATATATCATCTGCTTCCTAGACTTCTATGCAGTAGATATACGGTATTGTCATGTGTATACACATATATACACCAATATACAGAAATACATTTACTATAACATTTCTTAAACTTGCAGTTTCTTTACAACAAATTGTTCAAACTGTGACATGCTGTCTGCAGTGCCAGAATTTAAAAAAGAAAGGAAAAAAACATAAACTGAAATGCACATTCAAAGACTATAAACAAAAATTGCGTGAAACACAAAAAATAGAAAGCATTCAGGATGCAACTGGGTCACACACCTCATATACAGTACACAAAATAAGTGTGTTTGCAAAGCAAGCTTACACAGTGTACCGTCACTCTCAACACTCAAGATAATGGAGTTTTTCCTTCTTCTGAAGAGACTTTTTCCCCCTGTATGGCCATGAATTCATGCACTTCTCAAAGAACTCTAAGGTCATTCTAACAACACGAATCTTATTATTGTCACTTCTAATTGACTGAAGAAAATTTGAAGGGATTGTGAGAGGATAACTCATTTAGCATGGAAAAATCCCTTCGTTCAGCCTAAATGTTGGCAAATCATCAAATAAAAACCACTTGTGATGCTCTGCTCCCTCAAGAGAAAATAGAATTGAAATGTCTACATTGTAAAAACATAGTGTTATCATTAGGCTAATACAATTTTAGGGTAGTTTCTTCTTTTATTGAAGAAATTCTCATCAGGGAACTCAAGGGATAGATCTCCATAGAAAACAATCCCACCCTGGCTTAGGAAAGCACGAGCGTTGTTTCTCCATGTGCCGGCGCACAACCAGAGGCTCCTGGGACAGTCATCCTAGCAAGTGCAGTTTCTAGCACTTCTGCTCTATCTCAGGACAGACAATCCTTTCCCTGTAGGTCAGTGTTTGGGATGCAGAGAAAGTGGATCACAGGACTGTTGTGACAGCTGCAGAGGAGGGCCTGTGGGACTGACCCGACCGCTGCCAAAGCCGACCTTTGTGTGAGCTCTCCTGGCCAGGGCAGAGCCGTGGCAGTCACATACCCAGCAGCCTAGCCCTCGATGCTCCTCTGAGCCCAGCCAGGAAGCTCTGGCTGTACCTGGACGGAAGCGCCCAAAGGGCACATTATGGATGACTGGCATAGAAATTTGCAGCAGTCTATGTGCATAACAACCAGTTTAAAAATTTTAGAACATCCTTTGTGCCATCAGTGAAATACAACCAGCTAATACTTCTAATGTTAAAATCAGGGACATAGTGAGTTTGATGTTATTTTTAGTGCATGTAAATTCAGAGTTGTACTTTTTCCTCAACTGGCCTTAGAATCATTACTTACAGGAGCTTTGGAAGAGAGGCAAGAAAAATCTATAGGTCAATAGCACCTTTCACCAGAAACCCAAGGTAAATGCAGCAGATTTAAACATTTTTAAAAATAAAAATAATAGAGGCAAAATGGAGGCAGCTTTTGTCCCTAATTCAGATAGCTCTGAATGAGTAAAAGTTTAGGAAAGTATATAAAAACCCTGGAAATTATTTCAACAGCACAGATCTTCAAACATCCACTTTAACAGAGGGACTTCCCAGTTGTGGAAATAATCTGCATGCGTTTCCCTACCACTCCTGGAGGAATGCTCAGGGCCCAATGCCCCCTGCCCTCACCCAGCAGAGCCAGCTTCCTAGGAGGACCCACCTTGGATGACAGTGGCTCTTGGGGGCCCTCCTGGCACACCATGTCCCTGGTTCTAGGCCCACACAGGTCTTGTTCAGTTGGGGGCATGAGAGAGTGACCCTCCCTCCCCAGTACCCAGTGATAAAATTCCAGGCTGTAAAAAATGCTGAGGTGAGTAGGCTCCTCCGAAGAGAACACCCAGGACTGAGGGACTGGCTGGGGGCCCAGGGGGCACACCTACCCACAGAGCCCTCAGGAGCCCAGACAGCTCTGGGATAGCAACCACAAACATTAAGAATCCTTGGAATTTTTCCATCTGGATATATATCTTGATCAAACATAGGTTATACAAAATCTACCTGCCCGATAGAAAGTGTGCCCAAGGGCAGTGGGAGAGGCACAGCCTCTGGGGGAGGCTGCCCAGGAGCTTTCCCAGTGTGAAAAGAAATGTGGGAGCTGCCCCCATGCCCACTTGCCCCCCAGCGCCAACCCCGTGCAGTACACATGGCCAAAGTTGTTCTGGGCTTCTCTAAACTTATTTTCTTGAGATAGTTTTACAGTGTAATTCCTTTTATACAGATTTAAAAATAGCCTTTTTTGAAGAACCGAAAAGCATCACCTTTGCTTGCACTGTAAAGTACTCCCCTTTTCTCAGTTCTTATAGTATTTTGATCCCAATTTACCACTTGGTAGCTTTTAACTGCTTCTGAAATTTCTGACTCCAGCATGAGATTTTTCATTGCTTTTCTACCATCCATACCCCTATCATGATCTGTGAAAACCAGAGACTGCAGCCTTAAGGGAGGGTGGAGTCAGCATCACAGGCCCTGCTCACGGCCCTTACCTCACTCCTCAGGAGGGTCTGGACACTGCACTTGTGAGGACAGGACACCACTACACAGGGACATTCGGTGTCTTCATGTTTCTGGAGGAGGGAAAGAAAGTGTCATCAACTTTGAAACATAAAACCAGTCTTCCTTCAGATCCCAGAACCATTCCAAGTCCCCACGAGGCGCTCAAGGAAGCACCCGGCTTACTGTGACCGTTCCCCTGATTCGTGATGCTTGCACTACATCTGCTGCAGGGGTCCTTCTATTCCAAAGTTGGAATGCCAAAGAAAAAGGCATCCCAGAAGATCTACTCAAATCTGCCCAGTGAGGGGAATTCGTGGGAGCACAGTCCACCACGGCAGCTTCTGACAGCTTCCATTTAGCGTCCCCTCCGGCTGCTGCTCCAGACACATGTGCTCAGGCAGGCTTGGCCTTCACAGGCCCAGCCTTTGCTGGTTGGAGGTGGAGGGTTTACCTTTGGCCTCTCAGTCAGGAGTCTGGAAATGTTGCTTCTTGTATACCTGATAATAGCACAGTCTACTGAGTACTTGAATTACGGTCCTGAAATCTTACATGGATTACCTTTAGTGCATTGAGAATGATATATTTTGGTTTGACCCTTCTCTAGATGGCACAAATTTCAACTGCATAGAGCCTGGATGACAGCAGCTATCCAATCCAATGTCATGGGAACCTGCTGGGCACCTGTCCAGGTCACCTGCCCAGAAGCTAAGCAGGGGCAAGGATTCCCCACAGGGACCTCACATCCAAGGGCCCTGGGGAGCACCACCGGACAGGTGACAGAGGGCCACTGGAGAGAGATCAACACAGGCAGAACCAGAGGTGAAACCGGGCTGTGTAACATGGTAAGAGGCCACAAGCTCCCGGATGAGGCTTCACTAAGCAAGAAGAAAACTCAGCAATGTTTTCCTCTGTGGCCCTGGCACACTTCCAATTCCCCAAATCTGGTTTTCTCTCTGGGCCTCCACAGTTTTGCTGCTGTTTAGCTAAATGCTGGAACACTCACTCATTGGAAGCCTCACTTTGAGGGGGCAGACATGCAGGCCCAGCGGCCTCCCCCACGAGCACTCTCCTCTCCCTCGAGGAGGCCTGGGGCTGGGTCCCTCGCTCAGCTCTCCTCATGGGGTGCTAAGCCCCTTGTCCCCATGTGCACACTGTGGGTCTGCAGCACAGGGATGATACCTACAGGGCATGGCTGCTATGCTCCGGGGGCTTGGTTCTCACTGGCCCACAGGCAGTGAGTCCCTGGCTGGTTGGAACTCATTAGAAAGCACTCGGCTTGACAAGCAGATGCCACATGGGGGCACCTGCTCCCTATGCTGCTCAGCCTGCTCGGACCCTGTGGAGTTCCCCAGTGCCACAAAATCACTTACTTTGTCTTTCAGTGGGAAACCATGGACAAATGGCTTCACCTTTCTGCCTCACTTGGAAATGGGGGGAGTGACTGGACCCCCCTCACAGGGGAGCCTGAGGACCGAGTCAGTCATGGGCCTGGAGAGCTAACAGTCAACAACCAAGGATGCCACGTCTCCTCCCTGAACCTGCCCTTGATCCCACCTTCACTCACCAGTCCAGGTGTGCTACCTGGTGCTGTGAACAGCCCCAGGAGACAGCTAGGAATACAGATAGATAATTCCCACCATGGCAGGGAGGGAAGCTCAGTGTTCTGGGAGAGCATAAAGAGGGCTCTGATGCAGGGGAACCCCAAGGAAGAAGTGAGGGGCAGGGGCAGTGTTCTGGGAGGGCGGGGCAGGGGACGGTGGGAGGTGAGGCCGGGAGGCGAGTCCAGTCAGTGCCTATGCATGTGGATCTTTGCAGATCTGTGCAAGGACATCTGAAGGATCCATCTCCAGAAGAAGGCTTTGTTGGGTACCAAAGCGTACAGGCATTTTAGGTGGGGTTTTGGCAGATATTGCCAAATTGCCCTCCAAAAGTCTTACACAAACATGCCCCTATTATGATGAGAATACATGCCCCCATGCCCGTCAATTCTATCAAACCTTTCCATCTCTGACAATGCCAAGAGGTAAAAGGCCATGAGTGTGATTTGCGATTCTTGAGTAACAAGTGGTTAGGCATATTTTTGATATTTGTTAATCATTTATATTTCCTGTGAATGACCTTTTCATGGCCTTTGCCCACTGCAGTGGGTTGAATAGCGATCCCTCAAAATTCATGTCCACCAGAACTTCAGAATATAACCTTATTTGGAAAAAAAGGCTATGTAGGTGTTAATTAGTTAAAATGAGGCCCCTCTGGATTAGGGTGGGCCCTACATTGAATGACAGGCATCCTTGTAAGAGGAGAGGCGAGGACATGCACTGGAAGGCTGCCTTGTGCACGGGAGGCAAAGGCTGGTGTGATGGGGTGGGAACCAGAGCAGGGGGGGAGGATGCCCTCTCCAGGGCCTCAGAGTGAGCAGCACCCTGAGGTCACCGCACTGTGGCAATTCTAGCTGCCAGAACACTGACAGTGACGTTCTGTTGTTCTAAGCCACCAACTTTGTGGTACTTTGTTACAGTAGCCAAAGGAAAACAATACATTTAAACAACTGATGATCCACTGACAGGTAAGAACTCTCTGCATATTGATGAAAGTAGTCCTGTCTACAAAATCAAGTATAACTTTGATACATACACAGAACAGATGTAACATGTGCATGAGTCATGAAGTACAACTGCAGACTGAGTGCCCAGCAGGGACAAGAACAAAACAGGTTAACTTCCGTCCACCTGCCTGCTCCTCTCCTCGTCCCACTTTCCATCAAGGAGTGACCACTAAAACCACAACCTGGACTGGGTATTTCCGCTTTCTTTGCCTAAAAAAAGTCTCCTTACACATGTATGTGTGCTAGACAAAGGACTGCTTCATTATCATAGCTCTTGAGTTTCATCAAAACAGAATTCCACCCTCAGAGTCTCCTGAGGACCAGGCTCAGGCTGGTTCTCAGGAGACAACACGTGTGGCGCACTCAGCGGCAGAACTGCCAAGCTCACTGCTGCAGGCTGCCCGTCGTGCACCCTCCCTGCCACACACACATGCAGCCCGCATGCCCGCCCCAGCTGATGGCGCTTGGGTTGTTTCCAGGGTTCCGCTGCTCTGGTTTTACTTGACATACTTCCTGGTGTGTGTGTGCGACTGTTTCTCTTACACATTTAGGAGAACTGCTGTTTGAGTACATGTATGTTCATGTAAAATACTGCTAAATTGTGTTCCAAAGCAGCTGGACCTTTACAATATAAGCATTTCCCCATAAAACGAGTTTTCAGAATTTTGACTTTTCACAATTAACAGAACTATTTAAAGAGACCAATATTTAATCATTTCTAGACTAAATGTAAACACAGGGATTTTTTTTCGGATGCTTTATATTATGTAGATTAAAAGAAACCCAACTTGAAAACAGTTGATGTAATGTCAATACCATGGCTTAAATGTAGCAAAGAAATTCGCATATGAACTGCAATGGTTCAGAGTTTTAGTGCTTTATCGATCTTATCGATCTGTATCAGCATCTGGTGTGCGTGGCATGTCACAAATGGTGGGAAATGCAGGCAAGTCAGGCTGCCTGGGGCTTAGGTCCCGCCTAAATTAGATAGGTGCTCTTTCTAAAAATAAATTCACAGCTTGGGAGGATGACACTAAGGGTGTTAGAATTAAAAGAAAAAGACTTGGGAATTAAGTGATGCCACTGATGGGATGCGAGGCCCAGGGCAAGTCCCAGAACCTTCCCTGGGGTGTGACCAGTGAGCATGCAGCTGCCCTGCTAGTGTCAAGGGTTCCAGGAGTCAGGGGAGGGGTGTGCTACCACAACCTCGAAGAGGCTCACCTCTTACCATTATCACAGGCCCTGACAGAAAGTAGCAAATGCCTGAAGATACAGTGGCAACATCGTTAAAACAGTTTAAGCTCAGTTTTTATCACAATGATGTAAGATTTTTAAGGAACATTTACTTGCACAACTCAGGCCCCAAACTTGCTCATTATCACTTTGTGCCTCTCTCCTGCCTGCAGTCAACAAATTTAGGAACCAGATCGAATCAAATGCCACCTCATCACTGAAGCCTTCCTTGACTCTATCAGGCTGAGTTAACTGGCCCCTCCTTGGAGCTGTATTTGTATCACAGTTACAGTACTTCCCAAACTGCAGCATATGTAACTGTGGGGCAGGTGTCTTCCTCACCAGATAGTGAAATGAAGGGGAGAGATGGCAATTTATTCTCTTGTGTGTCCTGAGCAACTAGCACAGGGTCTGGTGCACAAGAGTCACTCAATAAATGTCTCCTGAAACCATAGGCTGTGTTATTTTAACTTTAGTCTCTTCACAGCCTCAACTAGAGTTCTGAGATAATTACTTACATGATGTTTAACTGACAAACACTACAGTTCTTTCCAAATGAAAACTAATTCCTAGATTCTTTTCTGCAAATAAAGGTAAGTGCTATTTGCAAGAATTAATGTGCAACTTTGATAGCAACATACTAATGTGTATGGTTTGGAGTACTGCTCGTTAGGTACAAGCCCCATTCACGTGAATGTCATCACTGAAGGAATTACTCAGTTATGACAAATACTACTGCTATTTTCTAAAGGAGAGGGCACAGTTCTTAAAAGCACTTAATAACTGGAAATAGCTCTGGAATCACAGAGGAAAAAGATTTCACAATGGAGTTATACAAAGTAAGGCAAATATGGAGACTACAAAGTAGAATGTGGAGAGATTCTTAAGATGGCAGAGTGAGTAGGGTGGTGGAAATCTCCTCCCAAAACCATATATATTTTGAAAATACAGCGAATACAACTATTCCTAAAAAAGTGACTGGAAGATATAGTACACGAGCCAGGCTACATCTGCAAGACCCCAACATCTCACAGAAAAGAGTAGGATACAAAGCCATGACCTGGTGGGACCCGAGCACTCCCCCCACCCCAGCTCACCAGCGGGAGGAAGGGAATCAGGGTGGGGAGGGAGTGGAAGCACAGGACTGCTAAATACCCAGCCCTGGTGGTCTGTCCCAGGAGCAGACACACATTGCATGGTGCACTGGATATTGGAGGAGCAGAAGGGCAAAGT